CTATTTTGTTTTTTTTAGGAGATAATGCTTTATTTCTGATTGCTACTGTGAGAAGGTCATGGAAATCCTTTTGGGAAATAATGGTAAATATCGACTTAATATCTTGCGTTTTCTGGGTCAGAATCCCAACTGTATCCAAAGAAGAAGCCATGGGGATGACCCCCGCCCGTGAAATTATCCCATAAGAAGGTTTAAATCCGACTATCCCACAATAAGAGGCAGGACGACGAATAGAATCTCCCGTATCATGGCCTAAAGAAAAAGGAACTAAGTTTTTGGATACTACTCAGGCGGAACCTGAAGAGGAGCCACCCACGATACAAGCAGAATTATAAGGATTAAAAATTGGTCCCGTAGCGGCGTGAAGTCCAGTGCCACCACAAGCAAATTCATCCAGTGCTGTTTTTCCTAATAATATTTTTTTTTTCTCTAATAATTCAATCACAAAAGCATTCTGGATAGAGCAAAAATTACTCAAAAATTTTGAGGAAGCAGTGGTTGGAAAGTTGATAGTCCAAAAATTATCTTTCGCAAAATAAGTTAATTCTTTTTTCTTTTCAGAATTGGTATTTTCACAAAGAACGGCGTTAGTATATCCCTCCTGATTTGACTTTTTTTTTAGCATTTAAATTCCAATACCTAACCTAAATAATTAAATATTACTGAGAATAGATATTAGGGGGAGTATTATTAACTCCCTCGCCTAATATTGTTTTATTCAGTTATTTTTCTCGCCTGTTTTCTTCTTCTCACTATCACTACTGCTGCGGCTGCTACTGCTAACACAACTAAAGAAACTGGAATAATTACCCCTCACGGAGTTTTGTTTGGTGAACCAGTTTGACTAGTATTTGAATAAGTGACTAAATCATTCTCTAATTTATCAACTTTGGACTTTTCTTTTTGGTAAAATTTACTGAGGTAAGTATTAGTTCCAGATTTGAAACTTTTTAATTGTTGGTGAATAGTTTTGATATCTTTTTTTACCTTTTCAGTAACATTTTTTTTGGCTTTTTGTAAGGCGGCTTGGGCCTGGTTGAATAAGGAAGTCCATTTATTTTCAGCACCCACTTCACCAATTTCTTGAATGGCCTGTTCCATAAAAGCACTAGATTCATTAAACTCCTTAATTTCAGCATCTATCTTTTTCATATCCTCCACATACTTCCTAACTTTTTCACTTAATTTATCAAGTTCAACTTCGTTATCGTTCATTCGTTTTTCAAGGGCATTGGTAACTGCTTCTCGGTAAGACCCACGATTTCTTTTTCATAATTCTTTTTCTAATTCCTCCCTTCTTTTCTTGTCATTGAAGTCCATTTCTCCTTCCATTTGAATTAATGTTTCTAGACTACTTTTCAATTCATCATCTTCAAGTTCACTCACGACCTTATTTTTGGCATTGTCGTAATTTTCTTGTTCTTTATTATCCAATTTAGGTCTTTTATTAGAGTTGTCGTTTTCTTCTTCATTTTCTCTTTTGCGTTTACCTTTTTTGGCATCTCTTTTGGCTTCAATGTCGGCTAAGACGCGGGATTTGATATCATCAATTTCTTTTTCCCCGAGGGCAAGAATTGAATATCAAATACTATTTTCTCAATTGCGATTAGCCATTTCTAATTCCTCATTAGTAATTTTGGGGTCCTGATTAAGAGCGGTTTCAATTTCCTGTTTGGCTTTTTTTCGATATGCTTCTATTTCGTTGGCTCTTTTGCCTAATTCTCCCCGATCTTGGTCTTTAAGAGGGTCATTAAGGGGCTTTTTGGTATCGTTGCCAGTGGCTTTTCAATGATTTTCCATTTGTTCCAACATTGGTAAAAGTTCTTGGGCTTTTTGGTAAATTGGAAAATTTTTTTCTTCGATAAGTTTTTTGGCATTTTTCCCCTCCTCTTCAAGGTCTTTATCCCTAAGCGAAGTTTTTCTCGCTCGCAAATTATCATATTCGGCTCAGGCTTTATCAATATCATTTCAAAGTTTACCACTGATTGTCTCTGACTTTTTTAATTCCTCCAATCTTTCCTTATCAGTCAATGGTATGTCATTTTGACATCCACTAAACTTATCATATAATTTTTCAATCTTATCAAAAATTGGAAGTTGTCTGGAAACATACAACCTGTTATATTCCTCAACTGTCATTTTAACTCCTCCTATTTCTATATTATTATTGATTATTTTAATTTCTACCATATTTTTATTAATTCTTTTTTATGATTTTTTAATGTTTATTAATGCCAACCTTTACTTTAGTTTCTATTTTGTTATTAGATATATTTCTATCAGAGAGAGAGAGAGAGAGAGAGAGAGAGAGAGAGAGAGACGATTTTAATATCTCCATCCCTTTCATCATTACTCACTTTCTAACTCCTTAATTATATTTATATAAATTTTTGGTTCGAGGAGGAAGTTTTTTTAAAACGGAAGAAAAAGAACAGGATGTTTCCCACTTGTTTTTCGAACTTGAATAAAAAGTGTTAATGAACCAACTCTTTAAAGATCCTGACCTACGGAGAACCTGAGAAGGCTATCTTTCTCATTTTTATCCTCATGAATATAAGCCTATTGGTAGTAAACCACTTGAATGATTACATATTCACTTTATCGGACAAAAAGGAGAGGTTGAAATCTACCTCAAAGATTATCGGATACTAATTCAATGAGGGAAAGTTTCAGAGCAAGAGCAAAATCAAATAAAAAAGTTTGTCAAAGAGAATTATAAGGACATCATGGCAATAATAGAAAAACGATTAGCCAAAGTAGGTATAAAATTAGTTATACCATGGTAAGACTAAAAGAAATTCAACCAAGCCACAAGCCATCCCTAATCAATCAGGAAAAACCCGCCAAAATTATTAGTTGTCAAATAAAGAGAGGAGAATTAATTACTCAATTAGATGATGAAAGAAAAATAATTATTCCGGTAACTGCTCTGACTAAATGGCAAATATTGGATGAAAATGTCAAGCCCGAGCAATTAAAAAATTACGAGATTAGAGGAGAAGGAAATGTTATTTACTTTCCTGATATTGATGAAGTTTTACCAGTTTGGATAATTGTTAGAGGATTACATTCGGCTTGTCGAGACTAAATTTTTTATTTCATAAGGTTGATCAATGAGCCTAGTATTGTTTCCTATTATTATAAATTAATACTTTTATAGTTTTCCTAATTCGGCTTGGATTTTTTTCTTTTGCTCTTGGTAATAGGCTAATTTTCTTTTTTTTTCTTCTACTAATTGAGGAGAAGCATTAGCGAGAAAATTATGGTTTTTTAATCAACGCTTATTTATTATTTGGCACTCTGCCTCGTAGAAGTTTAACTTTTTTTCTAATTCTTGTTTATCAACTTGCTCGTGATACCACAAAATTCCAAAAGGTTGTAAATCCAAAAAAGAACTAAACTCATTGTTTTTCTTTTTTTCTAAAATAGAAACTTTGCTCTTGGTTAATGGCTCTAAATATTGGTTAAAATCAAAAGCAGTCAACTTATTCTTTCATTCAGGAACCAGTTCTAAATAAAACTCACTAACTTTACTTTTTTGCTGAAAATTACGAATATTACTTATTAAAAGGAGCAAACAATCGACTTGTCAAAGGTTATTTTTTTCAGTTTTAATTTCAATCTTTTCAATTTTCTCATTTAATATTTCTTGCTGGGTGATTTCTTGATAAATATGCTCGGTAATAAAAGGAATAGCGGGGTGAAGCATAATCAGTAATTGTTGATAGACAAAAAGCACTGTATTTTTGGTGCTGGCATCTCATGGGGAAATTTTTATTAATTCTAAGTAGTCATTACTTAACTTTTCCCGAGTAAATTTAATAAGTTTAGCAGTAGCAAAATTAATTTCCTTCTTTTCTAAATGTTGAAGATAGTCTTGTTGTAAAATGACTAATTCATTTAAGATTCAGCTATTAACTAATTCCTTTTCTTTTGACTTGTCTGTCATTAATTATTTTTTTCCTGTTTATAAGTTCTTTTGTAAATAATTGCAGAAAAGGGTAGTAAAATTAAATTGTGATTTTTTTTTCCTGTTTTTTCAACATAAACTATGGGGAACGTAATCGCTAATAAAAGGCAATTCACCATGATCAGCATGACGGCACAAGTAGAGGTTAATCTTGTTTTTATTTAATTTATTTTTGCTCAATTGGTAGTGAAGTTTAAAGGAAGCCCTTCAGTCAATTACAGCGTCTTCTAAGCCGTGAAGCAATAATAATTTGACGGGCAAACTTTCAGGCAGAACTAAATAAGGATTAACTCTTTCCAATTTCTCTTGCGAAGAGTGAAGAGTATCCTTAATCATTTTTTTCAACACAAGATGCTTTCAATAGTAATTTATCCCGCTTCCCAAGGCTCTTTTATACTGGGTATTAAAACGGTCAAAAGGAGTCTCACAGATAGCAAATACTACTTCTGAATTACTAGGACCAGCAAAATAACCCAACCAGAAGGTTAAGGTAGCCGCCCCCATTGAAAAACCATAGAGGCCTATTTTTTTCGGCTGATATTTTTTTTTCACACAGTCAATAATATCCTCTAAATCACAAGCCTCGATTTGCCCCAAAGTGGTGGAAGACTTGCCCGAAAGTCCATGGTTACGAGCGTCATAAGAGACCACTTGATAACCCCGTTGTAAAGCCAAGTGCATAGTATAAAAGAGAGACCAGCGGTTATTAGTCAAACCATGGCAAAAAATAACCGCTTTATTATTATTCTCATTTATTAAAAGTGGTCGAATAATGGTCGCATAAAGGACTAACCCATCATGAGTAGTAATAACGCTAAAGTCTTCTCTTAAACCCAATTTTTCCAGAAAATCAAAATATTTTTGGTAAGCGACAACATTAATGGCATTTTTATTAGTTCCTTTTAATAGTTTAATTTTGTCATTAATTAATCCAATAGAAACTTGAGTATCAGCCAAACTAGGAGTAGCCGCTACCGGAGAAAATACTCTCTTTATATTTTTGTAAACTTTTTTCAATCAATACCAAAACTTTAACAACATTGACAACTAGTATTGATAACCTTTTTTCCTACTTTTGTAGATAATAATTCCAATTAAAGTTATAAATAAAACCACAATTCCTCCAATTACTACTGGTTTCACTCATTTATTATTATTTTTTCCTTCTACTTCCGCTCTTGCTTCATTTTGGCTAATGCTATTTTTACCAATTTGTTGAAGAAAATTTTTTATTTCCCTTTGCTCGGAAGTTAAGTTATTATCATCGATAGTTTTGGAATTATTTTTACCATATTCCAGGACTAGTTTTCTATTGTCAGGGTCCAGACGAATATTAGTAATTCCTTCTTTTTCCATTCACTTCAAGAGTTGGGCGAAAGGATTTTTTCTTATCACCGCTATTGTTCTTCATTTTCCGAATTTTTCACTACATTCTTGCGAACAAAATTTATGATGATTGCCATCACTGTCAACACTTCCCGCTCCGGAAATTATATTGCCATTTTCATCCTCATACTCTTTAATTTCTTTATGACAATTATCACAAAGACGAATGAGATGATTAGTCTTTTTATTTTCGCGAGGAGAGGCAGGGTTTTTTAATTCCTCTAATTTCTTATTGAAGCACGATTTACAGAAAAAATTTCCGTCACTTCTTTCGTAACAATCATATCCTTCATAATGGCATCCAGCACATTTATACTTTGCTAGTTTTGGTTTTTCTAACTCTGGAATTTCATATTTTATCTTTTCAAATTCATATTTCGGCACTTTATATGCACTTTCTCAATGGCACTCCTGCGAACAATAAATTTTGTCATCTGAATGTTTTCCTTTTCAACGAAGTTTAGCATCCTTTCCACAATTAGCACAATTTCCACCTTCTACTGCTTCTCAGCAATCACTAAGTAAAGGAGTTTTTTTTTCTCTTTCTCAGGCTTCGTCAAGAGCAGCAAACATTTTATTTTTAAAATTCTCTAATTCCTGCTTTCAATTAGAACCTCTGATATCCCAGATTTTAGATACTCAACACTCACTTGGAGCCCACAAGTTAGGGTCTAAATGTTTGTCTGGTCACACATAAACTCTAAATCCATCAGGCTTTAAAGCATACGTATTACCATAATGGTGTTTATAGTTTTGAATTGCTTCAAAAATCGAATGCCGAAAATCTCTTTCTGACTGTCATTCAATTTCTCAATTATCTTTTCATCCATATTTATCATACTCTATTTTCTTTTGCGGATCAGACAAAACCATTAAGGCTTTGCCAACCTCTGGGTCATCTTTTGAACTAGTTTTTAAAACTAGACTATTAATTTCTTGCTGACTAGCATTTTTGTTTACTCCTAATATTTGGTATAAATCTTTATTATTGTATCGGTTCATAATTTTTATTATTACTTTTATTTTATTTTTATAGAGAGCAGAGAGAGAGAGAGAGAGAGAGAGAGAGAGAGAGCGTTCTAACTTAACACTCTTTCATCTATCATCACTCACTCTGTCCCTTAATTAAATTTATATATTATATAATTGTTTTGCTTCAACTTCTACCCTAATAATTATTTTTTCTGAACCTTTTTGGTTATTTTATCTATTTTTTTATCTCGGCGATACTGATAAAGAAGAAATAAGACAACAAATAATGTCAGAACTATCACGAGGACTAATAAAACTCAACCAACTTGCTGTCAAGTTTTCTTATTTTTGGCTTGAATTTCCTCCTGTTGTTCTTGATAACACTTTGGACAAAGGTAGTAAGTAGCATAACGTCGTGGACCTGAATGATAGCGGGAAGAATAATAGTCATTTGCTTCACCAGTTTTAATTTCTTTTCCCTCCTCAATGAGGTTTTGACATTTTTTACAATAATGTTTTTTTGCCATAATAATCTTTTATCAAAATTTTTATCTATCTAATAATATTTTCGATACCTATAAATATGATGATATCTCTAAATATATATAAAATTGTTTAATATAATACTCTATGACGAAAAAGAAAGTAAATTGCTCTTATGAATTGCTTTGTCTCCTCAACGAAAAGGAGAAAAATAAGGAAAGATATGAAAAAATGGTTAAAAATATGGAAGAACTTTTAGGAAAAGAAAATATTAAAAAAGTGGAAGAAAAGGACTGAAAACCAGTTTATAAAATTAGTAAATTAAAGGAAGGAAAATACCTACTAATTTATTTTAATTCCGAAAGGCAAAAGGCTAAGGAATTAGAAAAAAATATTTTACAAACTGCTCCCAAGGAATTTCTCAATCGTTATCTCTTAATCAATCTAGCCGACGAAAAAAGAAATAAAATTAAATTAACAAAGAAAGACAAAGATGCTGAATAAAATTAAAATAATTGGTAAGATTTTACTGAACGAAATAAAAGACGAAAACGAAAAAAGTGATAGTGAACTTGGAAATGATTTGCAGGAAGTAGGAGGTGAATTAGAAAAATCAGGGAATGAAAGAAGAGAACCATGATTCTATTTTAGTGTTGAGGTTCTTTGCCCAAGTGGCTCTCTATCTATTATACGCTGTATTGCCCAAGGGGAAATGACCGAAAGAATTAAGAAAGAAGTCAAAAAGGATGAAGTAATAGAAATCCACGGCTATTTAAGAAACGAAAAAAATAGCCGCCAGATCTTAGTAAGAGTTGTAGAGTTTAGCAAAATTGAGATAGATCTTGAGAGAATTGGTGAAGTTAATTCTAATCAGGTAAGGTTGATTGGTAAAATAATCACCGATTTACAAGCTGTCGACAGTAAACCAAACCCAGAGACGGTGTCCTTCAAATTGGCTGTTCCTCGCGAAGGAGTTAAATCTCCCCTTTTCTTTTGTCGGGTTAATGAAAAAGAGTTAATCCCTGAATTTAATGAGAAATTAAGAAAAGGAGACGTTATTTTCTTAGAAGGATATTTACAAACTCAAAAGATATTGGAAGAAAACGATGGTGAAAAAAAAATTGCTCGTATTTCCTCAATTATCTGCTATGGATTTACTCTGCTTGATAATGACTCAGCAAGCGTTTTCAACCCGCTTGGTAATTTAGTGCGAGTGTTCAAAGAAGTTAGCAAAATTGATTTTAGCAAGCCCAAACCTAGAACCAAGGAACAAATTGAATAAAAAATAATGGTAGGAAATCATTTAGAAAAAAAAATTAAGAACAAAAAAAAGAAAAGTAGTGACAAAACTGATTATTTTTTAAGCCAAAGAATTGAATACATTGATTACAAGGATGTTGTTGCTTTGCGGAAATTTATTAATCGGCAAGGACGAATTAACCATCGTCAGCACACTCAATTAGTAGCCAAGACTCAACGGCAAGTAACTCGAGCCATTAAAAGGGCCCGACAGATGGCTCTCCTACCTTATACAATAGTAGAACAAAATGAGGAAATCCAAAAATAATTTATAGTTATGTTAAATAGTAATAGTCAAGAAAGAAGAATAATAAATAGTTGTCAGACTTGTCGCACTCCCATTTATGAGGGTGAACCAATTTATGCCAGTTCCAAGGGCCAAAGTTCAGGCTATACGAGAGGTGCTTATGGTGGCAGAAGTTTTGGTGATTATCAAGCGGGAGGTTATGGCGGACATTATGGTAGTGTTCATGCCTCCGAAAGTTGAGCCCAAATGCGCTTGGTGTTATGACCAATGGCAAGCCGAAATCGCGGCCAACAAAAGTTTTTGAATCAAGTGATGATTAGGAGGAATTTTATTTATCATTGTTGCAACAGTTATAAGTATCGTGGCATTTCCAGGCTTAGAAGCGGGTGGAGATAAATCATCAAATGCCTCATCAAAAGTCTCTTGACATCGGAGGAAAATTTTCTCCTTAGGAAGTTGACAAATACCCCTCATTGCCCCTATTGTTCTTGTAGTTAGTATTTTTCTAGTGAGCATCTTGGGAAATATTTTTCAGCCCTCAGTTAATAGATATAAATTACGAAAACGACCAACCAAAAGACCAACCAAATTATAAACTAATGAAAAAGCGAGAAAAAGTTATTCTTCTACATAAAAATCAGTGAGGAAAAAAATACGAAATAAAGGAATTCCCGCGAGGATTTATTTTGAATTATCTTTTGCCTCAAAAACAAGTTTTGTTGGCTAATGAAAAAAATCTTTCCTGATTGGAACAAGAAAAAGTCAAAAAAGCCCAAACTGACTTAATATTAGAGGAGGAAGCCCAAAAGATATACAATAAAATTAATAATCTTTCTTTTAATTTTACCTTGAAAAAGGATGAGAAAGGCGAGCCATTTGGCTCAGTTGGTTTTAAGGAAATTTTAGCGGAATTAGAAAAAGCAGATTTTCACTGCCAAAAGAGT